ATAATATAATGTAAATATACGTCTATGTAAATTGGGTAATATGAAAAATTATTACGATTTTTAGAATAACAAGACCAAGAAGCACATCAACTACAACAACAATGCTATCAACAAATAAAATTGACGTAAACATGAACTCATTATTAAGAATTTTCTAAATGGGATTAGCACAAAAATATTGAGAAAGAATACCGTTATGGGAAATTAATTGTTTTTGGGCGAAATAATATTTTGCAGAATGTGTGACAAGAAAAAGAGAAAAATACGTACGTGCATCGATGTAAAAGAAATGTTAATTGAGGTCGGAAGAAAAATTCAATGAAATTTATTAAAGAAAAAGAAGGTAAAAATAGGGGTTTTTCGATTTTTAAAATTTTTATTGAAAAAAATTAAACCTATAATATTTTAGTGACGAACTTTAAAAAAATTAACAATTTTCGAAATTAAAAAAAATATATATTTAAGGAAATACGTTTTTTTTATAAATTTAGAATGAAATACGCAGACAAAGGTAGTTCGAAAAACCCTATATTTAGGAAAAAAATCTTGAAACAGGCTATCATAATTTTGGCAATACAAAAAACCTGTTTAAATTTAGTTGATTGAAAGTGCTTTTTGAGCCATTGTTGAACCGTTGAATTCTTTTTGCTTTCTAATTTGAAGATATTCATGGGGTTTGAGATTAGTCAGGAGGTAATTGCCAAGGTCATATCAATGATGAGAAATTAGTTTTGAAAATTGAAAAAAAGTCAGGGATAACCGCTTTATCGAGTATCAATATCGATTTTGTATAGAAATACGTAAGGTTAGGTCAGAAGTGAATAGCTGAAACCCTTTTACAAGAATATAACAATTGAGCTCAGTTTTTGTATAGAAAGAGGTCCTTTCAAGGTCTGCTAAACTAGTACACAATGTCAGTATTGGGAATAAAAAATAAAGTCAAAGCGACTCGGGTAAAGTTTCCTTTCAATGTGATCTTATAATAATTTCTGGGAAAATATGCCTATTAAAAAATCAGAGGAACTGATGAGGGCTGGTGGAACTTTCCAAGGCCATGTTCTTCCTTCCTTCTAAAAGATAAAAAATAGAAATTGCCAAGGTATATCCATAATTGGAACAGCTAAAAAGGGAGGATGCTATTTTAGAAAGAAACTGTAAACTGCAGTGCCATCTTGGGTCACCCCGTTGATCAGGTGTGATAGGAAAAGACAACGTTTCTATAAAAATGAGACAAATGAGTCCACACTTTAAGGAGATATATATATGTGTGTAAAAATCATTTCTGGTACAACTCTTTACACATTTGGCAAAATAGGCCCAGATGGGAAAAATTCTAAGAGAAAAATCTTATTTCTGGCTCTCCTAAAAAATTACATTATAGATTCATATTTTGTGGCAAAAATTACAAGAGGCTTGTACGTTTTGTTTAGATCTTTAGAAAGGCATATTTTCACAAAAAAAAAAATAAATAAATAAATAAATAAATAAATAAATAAAAAACAAAATAGTTCAGGGGCTGGAAAGGGCTCTCAAATAGAAAAAGGGGCTGCCTTCATACAGAAAGGAGTTCCCTTCAGCTTTCCTACAGAGAATAAGGTTTCCTTTAGTTCGTCTATTACGAAATAAGCTCCCTACAGCACTCCAACAGAGAAGGAGGTCGCCTTCAGTTTGCCTAAAGAGAAAAAGGTCGCTTTCACTTCACCTATAAAGAAGGAGGTCGCCTTCAGCTCGCCTATGTAGATTGGTTTCTTTTAAGTTCGCCTATGGAGATAGGCTCATTCAAGCTGACATATGGAGATTGGTTTCCGTTAAACTCATTTATGGAGATTAGGTTCCTTCAAGATCGCCTGTAGAGAAGGAGGCTCTCTTCAACGTTACCTATGGACATAGGCTCTTTTTAAGCTTAGCTATTGAGATTGGGTCTCTTCAGGATCGCCTATTGAGATAGGCTTCATTCATGCTCGCCTATTGCTATCCCCGCCTATTGAGGTAGGCTCCCCGTCTATTTAGTTTGGGATAGGCTCCTCTTCAGGCTCACCTATACAGATTGGCTCTTTTCATGCTCAGATGTGCTTCCCTTCAAGTTCATCTATGAGAGATAGGCTCTTTTCAAATTCGCCTTTCACCTTTCAGGCTCGCGTATAGAGATAGGCTCCATTTCGGGCTCGCCTATGGCGATATGCTCCCTTCAGGCTCGCCTATGGCGATATGCTCCCTTCAGGCTCGCCTATGAGAGATAGGCGGCCTTCAAGCTCTCCTGTGAGAGAGGCTCCCATTCAAGCTCGTCTATGGAAATAGACTCCCATCAATCTCGCCTATGGTGATAGGCTCCCGTCAAGCTCGGCTATGGAGATAGGCTCTCTTAAAGCTCGCCTATGGAGATAGACACCCTTCAAGCTCGCCTATGGAGATAGGCTCCCTCAAGCTCGTCTATGGACATAGGCTTCACTCAAGCTCGCCTATGGAAACAGGCTTCCCTTCAAGCTAGACTATGGAGATAGGCTCCCTTCAAGCTCGCCTATGAGAGAAAGGCTCCCATTCAAGATAGTTTATGAAGTAAGGCTTCCTCAGGCTCACCTATAGAGATAGGCTTCCCTTCAACCTAGACTATAGAGGTAGACTAGCCTTTAGGCTCGCCATTGGAGAAACAAATCACCCTCAAGATATAGGCTTCCTTCAGGCTCGCTTATGAAGACCATCTCTCTCCCTCCAAGCCCGCCTACTTTGCGATATAAACTTTAAAAACGTCGATACAAGTCTCCTCTATTTTAAGCTTTAGCTTTTTACCGATGATGAACGCTTGGGATTTTTCGTATTGTACAGTGTCATGTATCCTTATCGGCAGGACATTTCATTCCCTTTATTATACCCTCCACCATAGTAAGGAGGGTATATTACGTTGGTCATTCCATTTGTAACACCTCGAAATATACATTTTAGACCCCACAAAGTATATATACATATTCTTGAGCAGCATAGAATTCTATGTCGATTTAGCAATGTCCGTCCATCTATCCTTCTGTGGAAATCACTCTAGCTTCCGAACGAAATGAAGTTGGTTGATAAAATTTTACTCAAATGTATATTATGTCTGCAGGACTTTTGGTATTGAAAATGGGCCATGTAGATGCACGTTTTGGTAAAGTCCCCATATAAAGGTACCTCCCGATGTTCGGTATTTTGATGATTTTTGCGACAATATTCATCGGAATTGTTTCAAATATGGTACTTGAAGTTTGAAATAAGCACTACTGCCTTTGACAGAAAATTGTCTCTGCAGGTCCACGTCCTCGTATAGCCCCCATATAACGGTAGCTCCCGATATTCGGTACTTTGTTGATTTTAGCAACATTATTCACTGGAACTGTTTAAATTTTGGTATTTAAAGTTCGTAATGGATTCTACAGTCTAAGACAGAAAATTGTCTGTGCAGGTCCACGTCTTCGTATAGACCCCATATAACGGTAGCTCCCGATATCAGGTATTTTGATGATTTTAGCTACATTATTCACCGGATATGTTTCAAATTTGGTACTTGAAGTTTGAAATGAATACTACAGCCTAAGACAGAAAATTGTCTGTGCAGCTCCACGTCTTTGTATAGCCCCCATATAACGGTAGTTCTCGATATTCTGTATTTTGATGATTTCAGCAATATTGTTATCCTTTCAAATTTCATTTTGGAAGATCCTAATGGGTACTACAACCTATGGAAAAAAATTGCCTGCATAGGTCCGCGTCTTCATATAGCTGCCATATAACGGTTGCTCCCGATATTCGGTATTTTGATGACTTTAGCGACATTATTTGCAGGAATTGTAACAAATTTCGTATTTAAAGTTCATAATGGGTACTACAGCCTATGACAAAAAATGTCGTAAGCAGGTCCACGTCTTCGTAACGTCTCCATGTATCAGTTTTTATTTAAGTGGTAGTTTCCGGAAGTTTTTTGAAAATTTTCAAGTTCCTACCAAATGGTGAAGGGTTTTAAAGCTTTTGCTGCTTTTTTACTTGTTTGTAGTGCACAGGGTTATTTATCCTTATTGGCAGGACATTTCATGCCCTTTATTTTTATTTATTTATTTAATTTTATTTTTTTTTTTGAAATTTAATTATTTTGGGAGCTCTCTTAAAATTACCACATAAGTGAAAGATTTATAACAAAACAAATTATATGAAAATACAACACATTTAAATATTTTAACACTTGTTAATATAAATAAAATAACTACATATTTATCCAAGAACATATCAAAAAAAAAAAAAAAAAAAGAATGGAAGAGTAAACATTCTGGTCTTTCAACACAAAAATAAAAATAATTGAAATAAAATTTTCTATTTTTTCTCTGATACTGCCATGTTTGAAAACAACCAAAAAATGTATATAGTAAACAATATTTATATATATAAATTTTTTAAATAATTTATTTTTTACGATTATTGTAATTATTTGAATATTTTTTTTTAATTTTTTGGTGAGAAATGGAATAAAGTGCTCGAAAATGAAAATTCACACAATCAAAGCATTCTTTGGCATTCGTTTGTTGGGATACAATTTAAAAATATATGTGCATATGTGTATGTTTTTATTTTCGATTTATTTTGAAGGTGTGCACTTTTGGAATGTCTATGAATACGAATTTTTGTTTTTAAATTTAGCGCACAAAAAAAAAAAAAAAGAAATAAAAATATAACAATTTGGTGTGAAAAGCGCAAAAGAGTATATATTTATAAAGCATAGTAGAGTATTTTCAAGTCCCCCCCTCAAAAGCAGCAGCACACGGGAGGAGAAAGCATTTTGAAACCACCATATGGATGGTTTTTCAATATTTTAATATATATTTTTTTTAATTTTATTTTATCTACATCGAAAAAAAAAAAACATAATCTTATGAAAGTTTATGCATAATGTGAGTAGAACACATATTATGTATGGTTGGTATGTATGGTTGTATGCTAAATAAAAATAGTTAGAGATATAGAAAGAGAGAGATACGTACGATCTGTCAATCAGGATGGAGGCCTCCTGTTCTTTAAACCTGTAAGGGTTACAACAAATAACAACACAATGAACGTTTTGATTGTATCACAAGAGAGAGAGAGAAAGAGAGTTATGTATTTTCATTTTAAGACAAGAGAAGATTTAAAAAAAAAACAGAAACAACAAAACGGGATCCGCTCAAAGATCCCTTAAGAATTTGTTTTGCTATTTTAACAATAAGCCAAAAAAGTAACTAAATATTTCTTTACAGTTGTATTTTTTTTTAATTTTTAAATATTTATTTTTCGCATTTTTATTTAAATTTCATTTATTTGCATTTTCATTTTTTTTTGCTTTAAAGCATGGCGTTTAATTTGTAAATATCTACAGCTGGAAAAGCATAAAATTATTTTTTTGTTTACAACAGAAATAAATGGAAATGGAACAGAAGAGAAAACAAAATGGGGAATAAAAAACCCAAAATATATGTACAAAAACAAGTGAAGAAAAAACGCAATAACACAAAAACAAAAAACATTTGAAATAGATAAAGTACATCCAAATCATGTTTAATGTAACAGGAAACGGAAAGCGGATACTCAGAAAAAGGGCCACACAACAAAAACAAACAACCAAACAAATAACATTTACATCAGAAGCTCTTAAATTATTCACTTATCATTTAGCTTTGGGAAAATTTAATGTTTAAACCGAAAAAAAATAAATAAAATAAATAAATAAAATAAAATAAAAAAAAAGAAAATCACTCATCTTAAAGAAAAAATAAAAACTCAAAGGGTATAAAAATCAATTAAAAATAAATTCTTGATTAATATTTTTTTCAAAAAAAAAAAAAAAACATTTAAAAACTTAATAAAACAATTAAATTGAGACATAAATTAAACAAAATAAAATGTTGATTTAAAATTATTGAAAAATGTTATTTTAACTTTTAAGTTATTGTCGCCACACAGTGATTCAGAGTAAGAATTTTTTGGCCAAAACCCCAACCATTGATGGGTATAAAAAAACTATATAAATAATATAAGAGTGTGGTTCATGCCCATTTTAATTACAAAAAAAAAAAAAATAAATAAATAATAAAAAATCTGTAACCTTGGTCGGGCCGAACTATGAATACCCTCCACCATTTGAAACGAAATTGTCAATTTTCAAAAAAAAAAAAAAAAAAAAAAAAAAATAGTAAAAAAGCTGTAAGTTTGAACTACGAACACCCTCCACCATTTGAAACGAATTTGGCAATTGTCAAAACAATAAAATCCGTTAAAAATTCTGTGAAAATCCTAAAAATACCGATATTTTTCCGATGAATAATGTCGCTAAAATCATCAAAATACCGAATATCGGGAGGTGCACAGAACATTTTCTGTCACAGGCTTACGAACTTCAAATACCAAATTTAAAATAGTTTCGGTAAATAATGTCTCTAAAATCATCAAAATGCCCAATATCGGGAGGTGCCGTTATATGGGGGCTATACGAAGACGTGGACCTGCACAATTAATTTTCTGTCTTAGCCTGTAGTATCCATTACGAACTTAAAATACCAAAGTTGAAACAATTCCGGTAAATAATGTCGCTAAAATCGTCAAAGTACCCAATAACGGGGGGTGCCATTATATGGGGGCTATACGAAGACTTGGACCTGCACAATCAATTTTCTGTCTTAGCCTGTAGTATCCATTACGAACTTCAAATGCCAAATTTTAAAAAAGAATCCGGTTAATAATGTCGCTAAAATCAACAAAGTACCGAATATCGGGAGGTAACGTTGTATGGGGGCTATACGGAGACGTGGACCTACATGGCTCATTTTCTGTCTTAGGATGTAGCATCCATTTCGAACTTTAAATACCAAATTTGAAACAATACCGGTGAATAATGTCGCTAAAATCAACAAAGTACCGAATATCGAGAGGTACCGTTATTTGGGGGCTATATCAAAATGTGGATCTACATGGCATAGGTATTTTTTTAGAGGGAAATATCTGAGCGGTCGTTCTTTTGGCCCTTATACAGTCTGCAGTGATCTGTTCGCTTAACTTTGTTTTTATTGCCGAGTATAAAACTTTGGGTTTCTCTTATTGATTAATGTATATGAACACTAGCGGAAAATTTTGTGGGGCTACAGCAAATAATAGATCTGTAATTTCAATTTTTGGTTAGGGAAAGTAGATCTCCCAGAAGACCATGTAGATTGAGTCTGAATTATTTTCACATTGGCATAAATTCATATTACTCTCTATTAAAGCTTTGCAATGTCAGATTTTATCCTGGCGACTAAGTGATCATTCGTGATCATCAAGCTTTTTGATATGACAACTTTGGACAAAGTTTCGTGGATTTTTTTTTAATTTTTTGCATAAAAATATATTTAAAAAAAAATACTTTACATTTTATTGAACCTGAAAAATAATTCTAAGAGAAATTTTAAAAATTTACCTAGATTTTGAAGAAAATCCCATGATATTATTAGTCCGACAAAGAAAAATTTGTAAATTAAGGACATTTTGGGCAACGAACCAGAATGACATTTTTTAGGCGGGACGGGGTTATATCAAAAGTCCGCACATTTGCATTGACATTTTTCGAGAAAAATTGTCGGTGTGACCAGGACCGAGAGATCTTGTGTGAAAATGGGATATGTGTATACTCCTTCTGGTACCTCCCCCACAAAGGGTCAAAGTTTTGAATAACCAAAACGATTATAAAATCCGAAAGAAGCATTCGGTTCTCATCATATTTCACACATCCCATTCTTTCTACTAACACAAGATCTGCAGTGAAGATGGTAGAGATCGGCCCACTTCTTCTGGCACCTCCCCCACAAAGCGTCAAAGTTGTGAATAACCAAAACGATTATAAAATCCGAAAGAAGCATTCGGTTCTCTTCATATTTCACACATCCAATTATTTCTACTCACACAAGATCTGCAGTGAAGATGGTAGAGATCGGCCCACTTCTTCTGGTACCTCCCCCACAAAAGGTCAAAGTTTTTAATAACCAAAACGATTATAAAATCCGAAAGAAGCATCCGGTTCTCTTCATTCACACATCCAATTATTTCTACTAACACAAGATCTGCTGTAAAGATTGGGATATATCGGCCCACTCCTTCTGGTACCTCTCCCACAAAAGCTCAAAATTTTGAATATCCATGAAACCAGAAAATAAGAAAAAAAGCGAAATTAACATCCGATTTAATTCAGACATTCCGCATCTCAATATTTCCACCAACACGAGATTTGTTGTAAAGATGGTATAGACCGGACCATTTCTTCTGGTACCTTTCCCACGTAGGGTTCAAAAGCTCAAAGAATGCGAAATAAGCATCCAACTCTCTTCAAAAAGACTTAAGAATTCAGGGGAGAATATCCCAGACAAAAAACAAGGGAACTGATGAAGATTGCTGGCTCTTTACGAAAACTAGGTATTCCCTGCCTTACCCCCTGGTAAACATTGCCATCGTTCTCCACTATAAACAAACGTTGTTTTTATAAAAACAACAATAAAGGGATAAAGCCTGACCATTTTGCAACAACAAAATACTACAGTATTCCGAACAAACAAGCCACACTGTTCATTTTTAGAAATATAATCCTTAAAAAAATTATTTCAAAAATGCACATCTTTCACAATTTCCTAAAAAATTATGTGTTTTTGCCCTTAAAAATAAATTTAAAAAAAATATGGATTTTTAAGAATATTTATGAAATTAGGGGGTAAAGTAACCATAGAAACTCCTTGTGTGGATTTTCAGACAATTCCATTGAAAATGTGGCTAGAATCATCCAAATACCAAATATTGGAGGATACCGTTGTATAGGTGATATACGATATCGTGGGCCTATATAGAAAATTCTCTTGAAGGGGTAAAGTACTCACAAGAAACTCCTTGTGTGGATTTTCAGACAATGTCATTGAAAAATGTGACTAAAATCATCAGAATACCGAATATCGGGGGTACCGTTATATGGGGCTATGCGATATCGTGGGCCGATATAGCCCATCTTCGAACTTGGCCTGGCAGCAGACAAATGACAGATTTGTGCAAAATTTTAGCTTCATATCTACATTCGTTTTTGCTCTAACGTGATTACAATAGACATACGCACGGGCAGGGCTAAATCGTGTTAGAATTTTACGCGGATCAAGAATATATATACTTGTTTGGGTCGAAAATTATTACTTCGATGAGTTACGGAATAACGAACTTAATATACCCTCCATTATAAACTCCTTCTCTCATTGAAAATAAAATATATTCTACTAAATTCCTGAATGAACTCGAATGTCTGGGCAAATATTATTTATTTTTTCTTTCTTACAAAAAAAATTACAAATAAACAATAGTTGTATTTGTTGAAGAATATAAAAATGCAACAAATTGTTTTTCTGCCAACTATTTTTGTTGTTGCCGACAACAATTGACCATATGTTGCAGCAAAGTGATGACAATTTCGTAGTTAAAAAAACAAACATACACCCATACATATTTTCCTCGTTTGAAATCAACAACATTCCAGCCGGCCAGATGTTTGGAATTCCTGACATGTTAGCCATGGAATAATAACAATAAAATCACTTTATTTATATTAAATGTTGTGGAGGAATGGTGGAGTCCAAAAAAAAAACCAAAACAAGGAGCATATATGCAGACAAACAAACACCCACTCACACATACCAAGAGAGAGAGAGAGAGAGTGAGGGAGACACACACACACACGCGACGAAAATAGAATTGAATGCGTAAATATTCAATTGCTGCATAATTAAATTGAATTGAAACAATTGGTATGTGACAATGGTGGGCTTAATTAAATTGTAATATTGTACACACACACACACACACATGCATACACATACAATATAGACTTGTGATATACCCATACAGATACATGACCATTATTATTGCGAGAATTTGTGATGATGGTGACAGCAGTGTTGATGTTGATGATGATGACGATGATAATAATAGACCGGAAATGAAGTTTTGTTGCGCATTGTTCGAAAGTGGGGGCACACGTGTGAGGGCT